AACAAGTCCCTTATACAATTAATCTTAAGCATGTGCAGCTATTATTCCGGCAACCTTGCAACTTGGTTGCAGGGGTTTTGAATTTGATCTTCAGTCTCACATGAAAAACAAAGAACAAGCAGGAAAACTGATGGAAGTAGTCTTCTCAAACCACTGCACATGATATTTTACATATCTGGATCAGCTTTTCATAATAATTCTATATAAACAGGCCTTCCTTCTGATCTACACCATGATAGGATAGTGTTCCAGAACTTCTTACAGCTCAGTGAACTCAAAATCCTGAAAGATATTGTCAACACCAAATGTTTTTCTCCATTGAAACATGTTAGCCCACATATATTTTGATTTTTCAATATCAATGTTCCTAATTTTTAAGAACCTGTATATATAAGATTTTATTAATCTTACACATACAATAAGTCCATAATCAATAGAGATTTGAATTAATAATATTAGAACACAGAAATCAACTATAGGCAAATAAATCGTTACAAGTTACAACTTCTCTTTCTCTACAGTCTACATATATAGCCATAATCAATAGCAAACCTGTTTTCATAAAATCAGATTCATCAACACAGAAAATCGAATGATGAACTCCAAATTCAAACATAATTCGAATTCTTTGACTCAAACAATGACTTGTGATCGAATTAATAAACAACCCTTCATGATTTCAAGCATTAAGAAAATCGATTTCAGCCAATGATTTCAGAAAATCTAGAGATAAAACTTACCGATGGGAGGGGAGGCGATGGAGGGGCAGGGGAAGGAGGGTGGAAAGCGCTGGTTGAGGGATGGTGTTTGGCGAGTGAAGAAGGAAGAAAGGAGGAGATGTGTACCGGTGTAAGAAGATACAGCGAGAGGAATAGAAAGGTGGAGGAGGCGGAAACAGAAAGGAAAAAGAGGGAAAATAAGAGTTATATCTCGGTCAGCTATATATTTTTTGGAGGACCCGATCAGCCATTTATTAGCCTTCTGCTGACCGAGTAAGAGCAAAGACCTTGTTATCAAACGGCTTGACTCGGACTGAATCAGATAAAAGGTCTGACCGGACTGGGTCAGAGGGAAATCAAATAGCCCCTTATAGTAACCTGCCTTAGTAGGAAAAAGGTAAAAACTAGGCCAAGGGGAAAAAATGAACAATTTTGTAAAATATTAAGTAATAACACACAAAAATCATGTCAATCACCATATAAAAATAATAAGTGACAAATTAAATATGGCGGGTCCGAACTCCCACTTATTGCTTAGGTCACACGGCAACACCACCTCATTTGAAAGAATCTTGAGAGCCTTTTGCTACATCGCTGCGACTGCTCTTAGTGGCCACAAACCAAGCAGGGCTTCTCAATTTCTATCCAAGAGAGTCCGTCATTATTATGGTTCTTTTTCTCTCTCACTGTTCTTTCTCCTTACAGCTACAAAGTATTGAATATCAAGACCCGATAGGCCCCCCTCTTTATAGACTGGATCCGACCCAGTCAATACCCATTTTCAAAAATTTTCTCTATTGCTGGAGTTAAATTGGTAAAACGTGAATTGTATATCTTCTCAGAATGTCACGATTACATAAGTATTAATAATAGATATATTTACACTATGATCCCTCTAGAATATAAACATGTAATTAATGCCTAATATATATAACATTTGTCTAATATTCCCCCGCAAGCTAAGGTCGGGGAGCGACTCTTAGCTTGGACCGCAAGAACTGAAAACGTTGAGAAGGCAGTGGTTTAGTGAACACATCTGCAATCTGGTCATCTGTTTTGATGAACTGAACCAGGAGTTGTTTTTGAGCAACCTTTTCTCTAACAAAATGAAAGTCAACTTCAACATGTTTGGTACGAGCATGAAAGACAGGATTAGCAGATAGGTATGTAGCACCAAGATTATCACACCATAGAACTGGAACAGTACGAGTAGAAAATCGTAGTTCATGTAGAAGAGTTTGAAGCCATGTGAGTTCAGCAACTGTATCGGCTAAGGCTTTGTACTCAGATTCTGTTGATGATCGCGAGACAGTCTTTTGTTTCCTAGCAGACCATGAGACAAGATTACAACCGAGATATATAGCATATCCCCCAGTGGATCGACGATCATCCGGACAACCAGCCCAGTCAGAATCAGAGAAAGCATTCAAGACATTAAAAGTGGAATCTGTGTAAGCATGAAGAACACTATCGGAATTGCGCTGAAATAAAAGTCCACTTGTTACTGTGCCATAATTGTTCATGAAAACGAACATGACGAGCGATATAAAGGCGTTCGGAAAGAGGGTCAAAGCACCGATAACCATGGTGGGAGGTGCTATATCCAAGAAAAATGCACAGAAGAGATCTGAAATCCATTTTATGCTTGTTATACGGACGGAGATGTGGATAACATCGACAACCAAACACACGAAGAAAGGAAAAATCAGGTTTGTGTTTGAAAACATGTTCGAAAGGTGAGATATTGGAGTTGGTTCTAGAAGGCATACGATTTATGAGATAGACGGCTGTGTCAAAAGCATAATGCCAAAACCGTTGTGGAACACCGGATTGAGCAAGAAGAGTGAGGCCGGTTTCGACCACATGACGGTGACGACGCTCAACAACGCCATTCTGTTCACTCGTGTGAGGACAAGACAAGCGATGAGTAATGCCGAGAGATGAGAAAAACTTAGAGAGGTTTCGAAATTCACCTCCCCAATCAGTTTGAACAGATTTTAGTTTGGTTTGAAATTGTCGTTCTACTGTAAGAAGAAACTGTTGGAAAGTACTAAAGACATCAGATTTGGATTTTAAGGGAAAAATCCACATAAAACTAGAAAAATGATCAACACATAGTAAGAAATATCGATGGTCTTCAAAAGAAGTAACAGGGGCTGGTCCCCAAACATCACAAAAGAGTAAATCTAAAATATGAGAACTTTTATAATTAGAAGATGATAGATGAAGTTTTGAAGATTTTCCAATAGAACAAGAATCACAAGGTGAATTGACAAAATTGTTTGATAAAGGTAAACTATATCTAGAAATCATTGACTTCAACAGCTACGGATGGGGATGTCCAAGTCGTTGATGCCAAGTGACGGAAGAAGCACGAGTAGCGGAGAAAGCAACTTTAGACGAGGTAGACTGCAACTGCGGAAGGTGGAAGGAGTAAAGGCCGCCACTACTTGGACCCATGAGGAGGGTAGTGTGAGTATTCTCGTCCTTCACAGCAAAAAAGGAAGTGTGAAATTCAAAATAAACATTATTATCATCGCAGAATTTTTGAACAGAAAGAAGGTTTTGTTTGATTTCTGGAACATGAAGAATTTGTGAGAGATGAAAAGTTTTATTAGGAGAATAGAGTTTAGAGGAGCCAATATGGAGAATAGGTAAACCTTTACCGTTGCCAACATGTAAGTTGTCATGGCCATGGTATGCCTCGGAGTGATCAAAGCTCGAGAGATCGGATGCAACATGATGACTAGACCCAGTATCAGTGACCCAGGTAGAGGAGGCCCGGGATCGATAATCTGCAAAATTAGCGGATGGTTGTTGTTGTCTCACACGTATGGTGGAGGGATCTCGATTAGGGCATTGAGACGGAACATGCCCAATACTGCACCTGTTACATGTACCATACACAGTATTTTGATTAGATGCCCAACTAAATTGGTTTCTATTACCTCCTCCTTGTGGACGATTGTTGTAGCTGCCACGCCCACGGTTGTTTGTTGATCGGCTGTTGCGATTGTTTCCTGATCGATTTGTGTAAAAAGCTTGGGCTGATGTTGAATTAGTTGGCTGGAGCTGTAACCCCAGCTGTTGTGCAAGCTTTTGAACAGCTTGGATTGCTTCATCTTGTGATAGAGACGAACCAGCAGCCATGGAACCGGGCTGTCTAGTGGTGGTTGTGAACGCTTGGGCTGGTGGCATCACTGTGGAGGTCTTTGTAATCATGTAGTCATGGTCGGACAGTAGACCATGAAGTTCAGCAAAGGCTGTTGGAGACTGTCTTGCTAAAAGGGTAGATTTCAAGCCATTGTATTCTTCTCTTAAGCCAGAGATAACCAGCATGACAAGGTCCTTTTCTTTAACTGGTTCGCCAATATTAGCAAGAGCATTAGAATACTCTTGTGCACGGGTTAAGTAAGCAGATGAGGACTCATCTTCTTTCATTGTGATTTTCAGAAGTTGGGTTTTAAGAGTATATTCACGAGAAGAAGTATGAGGAGCATAAGCACTTTCTAAAGACAGCCAAAGATCACGTGATGTATTACCTTGAACATGCTGAAAAGACGTCTCAGAGATGGTGGACAGAATAAGCATTCGAACATGCGCATCATTAGAGACCCATGTATTGTAACAAGGGTTAGTAGTAGATGTGGATGTGGTCATGGTGTCGCCTTCTTTTCCTGTAGGGGTGGTGGACACGATGGTGGCTGGTGGGCACTGTATGGTGCCATCAACATACCCGAACAGGTTGTTTGTAACCAGAAAGGGCTGTAACATAGTTTTCCAGTAGCCATAGTTGTTTGGGGACAAAGTAAAGGCAAATTTATGAGAGTTGTGGGCTGTTTTCTCTGCAGTAGTGAATGCTGTGAGAGGCGCCATTGTATTGGCTAATGTCAATGTGTACTGATCGACAAGAGAAAAGAGGAAGAAAGAGTAGAAACAGGTGCAGGTTGATGTGGATGATTGTAGCTGTCTAGTGCGGTTGATGATCTTGAGGGCTGCTGTGGCGCCAATTTTAGGGTTAGGGAATAGCGGCTCTGATACCAAGTTAAATTGGTAAAACGTGAATTGTATATCTTCTCAGAATGTCACGATTACATAAGTATTAATAATAGATATATTTACACTATGATCCCTCTAGAATATAAACATGTAATTAATGCCTAATATATATAACATTTGTCTAATAGCTGGTTTAGGCTAGCACACTTCCTCATTCATGCATATTCCTTTAATTGCCAAGAACAATTTTTCTAGCAAGTTTCCAAGGTCATGGTCGTGTCAATGTCAAGAAGCCATCTGATTACATACATCCTGCTGGTTTTGATCCCTAATGCAGCTTCAATTACCTTTAATTTGCCAAATATCCGTCCAGACAATCAGAACAGGGACATTGTAACAGAAGGTGAAGGAGCTTATATCTCCGACAGTGGAATCCAGGTGACCCCAGATGGAATTGGTTCTATTCGAAGCCAGAAAGCAGGTCGGGCTACATACATCAAACCGTTTCATCTTTGGGACAACAGATCTAAAGAGCTTGCAAGCTTCTCTACCAATTTCACCTTCCAGATTGATTCATATGGGGATTCAATTTATGCTGATGGCCTCACCTTCTTCCTGGCAGAGAATAATTCTGTTATATGTCGCGGTGGTGCCATGGGGCTTCCAGTCGACGCAATAACCATTGTTGCCACAAACCCGTTTGTTGCAGTAGAGTTTGATACTTATTTTGATGATGGTTGGGACCCAGTAGGTGACCATGTAGGTATCAGTATTAGTTCTCTTACATCTGTTAGGCATCATGATTGGCTTAGTAATATAACTGGTGGGGAGGTGTGTCAAGCTTGGATAACATATGATTCTGTTTCGAAAAATCTTAGCGTTTCTTTCACTGGTTTTAAAGATGATAAGCCACTTGTGTACACAGTTGATCTCAGGAAGGAGTTGCCAGAATGGGTTATTTTCGGGTTTTCAGCTGCAACTGGAGATTTATTTGAGAAAAATAACGTAAAATCGTGGAGTTTCACGAGTTCTGATTTACTGGTTGATGAAAACAAGACAATGCCAACAAACCCACACCCAACAGTGAGTCTGCACCCGAACCCGAACCCGAACCCGAACCCAAACCCGAACCGGATCCCGAACATGGCCTCGAACCCCAGCCCAGATCCAGTGGATCACTCCAAGAGAATGGTGCGATTAGTATTTGGATTAGTGGTTGTAGTTGCTTTGCTTGCTGTGCTTGCCTTGGTGCTATGGAGGAGGAAGAAAAAGAAGAGTCTGAAAGATGAAGATAATGAACTCGGATTTGATATTGATATGAACTATGAATTCGAAATGGGCACCGGAGCAAAAAGATTTTCTTACCAAGAATTAACTCATTCGACCAGTGAATTTTCCGAGAACGAGAAGCTTGGTGAAGGAGGTTTTGGTGGGGTTTATAGAGGTTTCTTGAAAGATTCCAACACATATATCGTAGTGAAAGGGTATCAAAGAGTTCCAAACAGGGGATCAAGGAGTATGCATCGGAAGTAAAGATTATTAGCCGATTGAGGCATAGAAACCTTGTCCAACTCATAGGTTGGTGCCACGAGAAAGGCGTGCTCCTCCTTGTTTATGAGTTTATGGAAAACGGAAGCTTAGATTCACATCTCTTTAAGGCAAAAAGCTTGTTGACATGGGGGACAAGGTATAAAATAGTCTGTGGGCTTGCCGCTGCTTTAATGTATCTACATGAAGAATGGGAGCAATGTGTTTTACATAGAGATATCAAATCGAGTAATGTGATGTTGGACTCAAATTTCAATGCTAAGCTTGGCGACTTTGGGTTAGCTAAGTTGGTGGACCATGAGAAAGGCTCACACACAACACTATTGGCTGGAACCTTGGGTTACATGGCTCCAGAATGTGTAGTAACTGGGAAAGCAACCAAACGATCAGATATATTCAGCTTTGGAGTCGTTGCACTGGAAATTGCTTGTGGGCGAAAACCCATTGAGTACTTGGCTCCCGAAAAACAAATAAGATTAGTACAATGGGTTTGGGAGCTCTATGGGACCGGGACACTTTTGGAAGCGGTTGATCCGCATCTAGGGTCAGATTTTGAGGAAGAAGAAATAAAGCGGTTGATGATCCTTGGGTTATGGTGTGTGCACCCTGACTCAGATTTTCGTCCATCAATGAGACAAGCAATTCAAGTACTAAACTCAGAAGCATCCGTACCTGTACTCCCCTCAAAGATGCCAGTCGCCTCTTACGTGTCTTCGCCCATTTCTTCTTCATATAGCGATGCTTCCATCATCAGAACCCAATCATCATCAAGCAACAAATTTGACAAGGGTCGTTCCTAATATTAAAAACCAAGCCTACGTCAAGTGGTCTTAGCATTATTATAACTATTGTGGTATTTTTCTGTAATCTAGTGATTAATATTGTTGTTAGAAATAGAAACAGACAGATAGATGTATGGATGCATACATGGCGGATCGGTTGATTTTGAAGGTCCCTTGCAAAAATTAAAAATAGGCTCCAATTGTAATTGTTTTATGCAATTAAAACTTATTTATATATAAGTCGATAATTTGTATAAAACTAACCAAAACAAAAATTGTCAATAATCAGACCTATCTGTTATTAATCTGACGCTAATACTAATGATCAAAAAAAATTCATGGAACCCTTAAAGGCTCAAACGACACTATCTATCTATCTGTGTGTGTGTTTGTGGGGGCGTTTCTGTTCGCCAATTGTTTCATAACAAATATATGTCTTCTTTCTATTAGCCAATTTTCTTATACAAGTCGTACTGTTATAGGTTCCTATTCTTTATACTATTGTTGACGGTTAGTGGAAAACCGTTTTCAAGGTCACAGCCGTTCAAACTCCCCCGAGTTTCAATCACAGCCGTAATAACTCACCATTTACAGTTTTCCGGCGGTTCTCTTCGCTTCCTGTTGATGGCTCCCCTACCTCCCACGTTCCGCTTCTCTATAACTCCTTCCACGATCTCCCCCTTATTTCTCTCTTGGCTACGCGATTGTGTGTGAAGGTTTCTTTGATTGGAGTATAAGAAAGACCCTCAACTCCCTCGGTCCTTTTCTTTCCCGTTTACCACAACCTGTTTGATTCAGTTGAAATTTGTTGCAAGTTCAAGGCTACAGCACAAAGCACTCCGTATTCAACTGGTATCGGGGAGAGATATTTATCCAGTTAGATATTTATCCAAGCAGATCCCTGACAACAAGAACACCTGGTAATTTCTTTAGTTCTTTTAGTTGCAATTTCAATTCCTCTTAACATCGGGTGGACAAGATTTGTGTTCCTCTTTTAATCATTGGGATTTGATGAATTATATATTTTTTGTCAATTTCACGGAAATCGCTCTACAATTGTCGCTTCCTCGAATTCAATTCCAGTCATAAAAGGTTGAGAAAGATGAAGACTGGAAAAGGAGGCTAACGGACACCCTCGCCACCTTCAGAAATAGGAGATCGCCCTCTAGAATTGCAACGCCTTGGAGTGAATCGCAACCTAAATCAATCTCGACGTACATCGGATGTCTGTTGCCTTTTACTGAATTTGTATCATGTTAATTTCTGCATTTTTTTCTTGATTTCGTTAATCGTCTTCCTTAATTTCTGCATTTCTTTCTTGATTTGTTTATTTTAGGCCTTGATCAACTTTGGTGCATTTTCTTGGGGTTCAGTGAAATTGTATCATGTTTCAGTAGAGTTTGAACAACAATGGGCAAATAGGAAAGTAGACTGACGGAAGAATGAAAGTTAAGAAAATGGACATGTTTATGATGAACATACTTCAATTGATTTGGACTATTATAGTACATGTAGAAAGGCTTTTCCTCTTAAAAGTTTTATTTCATTTATATTTTTTTCCAAGAGTTTTATTTCATTTATATATTTTTTTTCCAATAATGTGTTGTTATTGTTGTTGTTCTTTTTATTTACTATTTTTTTTTTTTTGGAAAATGAAAAGAATGAAATCAATAGTTAAAAGGGTGTTCTTAGATTATAATTTACAAGGCTAATCATACCATGATGTAGAAAAATATCAAAATCAAATTTTATTTCCATTTACATTGAGACCTTACTTGCAGGTTTTGGGGCATACGTAATCTCACTGTCCACCAAGTGTTTGATGAAAATTTATATTCATTTACTTCCTATGAAGTTCGAAATTGAGTTGTATATTATTTGATGAAAATTGTAGTTGTCACATAATTGAAGTTGGGTTATCTGTTTTGGAAAGTGGCATTTAGATTACTTCAAAAAACATAGCTAGCCAGGGGATAGCCATAAGAGGATCGTTAAAGGATCAAGTAAATTGAGTAAAGAGCAGGAGGATGAAAGCCAATGGCGACTTCTGATGGTAATTATACTTTGATGACAAAATTGCAAAAATGGTCCCTGTGGTATGCATTTTTTTGGGGTTTTAGTCCAAAACCTGACTTTTTTGGATTAGTGGTCCTTTTGAGCTAGTTTCCTTGCGGATTTGGTCCCTCGGTAACTGAAATGACTGTAATGCCATTCTGATTTATTTTTTATGTTTTTTTCTATTTAATTTAAATGAAAAAGAAAATAATTAATTAATTTGGGTGTAACGACCCAATTTTTCAAAGAAATTTTTAGTTTTGAATAGTCATATATATTTCCATATTTTAAAAAATCCAACCATAATTGCTTTCAAAACACATGTCAAATACAACTTTTATTTCAAACATCAGAGTGTCCATAAAACGCATGGGAGAGAGTGCACGTCGCGCCATCACGCCTTACCTTTGCCCTTGGGATCTGAAGTACCTGAAACAAATCCACAACATGTAAGATAAATGCTTAGTGAGTTTCCCAGAGCATACCACACACAAAATACACATATCACATATCATGTTAGCTATAAAAGCTACCTATAACACATAAATCATGCATACATAAATCTGTAAGGATGACATGGGCTCCCCCAGGGTCTTACACCTTCGTGCTACGGGCTACCCCACATGGTCTTTACCTAGGAATTCCATGGGCTACCCCACATGGTGTTACATCCAACGTGCCATAGGCTACCCCACATGGTCTTTGCCGAGGAATGTCATGGGCTACCCCACATGGTCTTACATCCAATTGCTACGGGCTCCCCCCGGGGTCTTCCATGCAATAAAACATAATCACATAGCATATAAAATCACAGAAATGACTAACACATATACCATAATCACATAATGGGCCGGCCTTGGTGCCTTAGACCCATAGGTATGGTGAGAAGACTCACCTCTGTCCGAAGAATCTGAAACTGCTCTCCTAACTGTCTGTAACCTCCCGTGCTGAATAATAATATTAACCTATGTTAGGACATCACATAATCAAAGGGAAACCCAAACCCCAAGTCCTTCCATGAAGGCCCAAATAGCCTTTCTTTGTTAATGGGCCCAAAGCCCATGACTAAAAATCATTAATGGGCCTCTTGGCCCAATAAGGCCCTACCATAACCTCGATGGCCCAAAACAGATAAAATGGCCCACTATTCGCAAAATGCAACAAAGTCCAATAACTAAATGAGGCTCAACAGCTCAAAGTCCCAAACAGATCCAAGCCCATCTGTGGTGCGTATGCTTAGTAGTGGCGGAACAAGAAACTTTTGTAAGGGGTTGCACAAAAAAAGTCCCGATAAAGGATAGTAATATATATATATATATATATATATATATATATATATATATATATATATATATAAATTATGTCTTCGTTAGATATATCAAACTAATGTAAAAATTTTACATTTGACATCTTCATTAACCTATTCTTAAAATACAATTTCATTACATATAACTTTAGCGTTGAATTAATTTGTTGTTGAGTTGGGTTAATTGGTACACACTGTCACACTCCATCTTTATTTATTAATTAGTGGGCCATTTCTTCTATTCAATGGGCTACTAAATGATAAGATGGTTTTTTAATTTAACCTTTATGGGAGCACACTTGATTTCACAGGTTCACACTTGAAATATCTATCTAAAAAATTTCAATTTTTCACTGCATGTGGGGAGTAAATGAGGGGTAGCACGTGCTACCCCTACCAACACATTAGTTCTGCCACTGACGCTTAGCGTACCACCCTGGTACGCGCAGCGTACTGGGTCTCTGGGACTTACGCGCAGCGTACGCTAGGTTACGCCCAGCGTACTAACAGATTAAGCACTTTCTCCATTAAGTGCTTAATACTCGATTCCCTTACGTCCAAAAGTCAGATCTAAGCTTATTAAGACGACCTAGGGCATAAAGTTGGCAACTTTATGCCTTTGCGTGTCTCATATACTCCCAACACCCCCATTAAGACCTTTCTAAGGTTCTTAACCCATGCATGAGGTCAAAATACCCATCAAGACTCCATTTTTATGTTGCAACCGGACCAAAGGAGCTCATATCTGACATTTCCATCCTCTGGAGTTTCTCAACTCACAAGAGAAGGTCCAAAATCAACAAAGGGGACCAAACTACAAAAACCCTAGCTAGATCTAGAGATTAAGATGGAAAGGTCCAAGCTTTATACCTCCAGAAGCTCCTCAAGGTCGACTATATGCAGATTCTTGAAGCCAAATCACACTCCAATCTTCCTTGAGAACTTCTCCTTCTTAAATGAACACTAAAAGGACCACAAATGCACTCTTAAAGCTCAAAATGTACTCACAAATGGTATTAGGGTTTTCAAAGACGTTTCAGGGTGAAGGAGGTTGTTTAGGGTGAGGCTCAAATGAGTTAAGGGTGTTTATATAGGTCTCAAGTACGGAAATTAGGGTTTGGACATCTGGCACGTACGCCCAGCGTACGTGCTGCCGCTCCGCGATCTTTCATGCCAAGTACGCTAAGCGTACTCATAAGTACGCCTAGCATACTTAAGGGATTCTTATGACATATTTGAAATACTTCAAGGGCTACAAGGTCATACCTGATTTGGAGTGTTAAAACTCTCCCCCACCTGAACTAGACTTCGTCCTCGAAGTCCGTAGTTGCGAACAGATCGGGGTAACGTTCCCGCATCTCCTCTTCCGGCTCCCAAGTCCATTCGGAGCCTCTTCGGTGCTACCATTGCACCTTTACCAGCTTCACCTCTTTGTTCCGAAGACCCTTCGTCTTCCTATCTAAGATGGCCACCGGCCTCTCGATGTAGTTCAGGACCTCATCCACCTGAATATCATCCAATGAAATGACTGCGGACTCGTCAGTGACACGCTTCCGAAGCTGAGACACGTGGAAGGTGTTGTGAATCTGGCTAAGCTCCTCTGGCCGATCCAAGTGATATGCCACCTTGCCCACCCGGGCCGCGATCCTGAACGGGC